AATCCCCTCTGTTTCAGCCCTGTTTCAAAAGTGCTGATTCTCTGTCTGTTACTTTAGATGAAAATAAGGAGCCCCTCCCCACGCCCCTCTGAGAGACATTTGGTTAAAAAGAACACAAAGGGGCTCTAGGAGGAGATTCAGGAGATAAGGTGGGGGGGTACCTTTGTTGGTTATTGGCTAAAGGTTACACAAACCAAACATTTTTTATGACATCATAAAGTGGCCAAAATCTGATCAGCTCATTTTCAGACAGGTTTTTATATAAATGGATCAGGACAAAAAGAGACCAAATCTTTTTTCCTGAAACTTTCAGAATCTCCTTACACAGAGGGGACACATGTTTATGTATAAAAGACATGAACAAGTGGATATTGCATAACAGGTGACCGTTAAAAAGGTGAAACAGGCAACTTTTTCTCCTGAAAAAAATCCCACATCAAGTATTTCAATGTGAATTAAAAGGAGCTGTGGCAGTATGAGATACACAAGAGTCCAATTTCCTGTGAAGCTGATTTTAGGAGTAAAAACCAGAAAAGGTGATGGGGGGGCCGGTCTGCTGCTTGCCAGCCAACAGACAGAGCTTGATCTTAAGGATTAGTAAAGGCTCATGATTTGGAATTAGCTCCAAACAAAACACATGACTGACTTTTCTTGTACAAAGCTATCAGTCAAATCAGATGGCTTATCATAACACTGCTCTCTATTGTGAGGCCAAGACTCAGAGGGATGCATTTCTTCTGTCCTCCACAAGTGCGTCTCCCACAGCATGTTGGATTTCCACCATCATACAATGTCCCCCATTACTTCTCATCATAATAAATACAGTCGACTACATTCTGCTAAGACTCTGACAGAGCTCTGGTGTTAGACATTCACCATGTTCATTATTTTCCTCCCGCTGCCATTGTCAATGCATGACAAAGAGTTTCTTACAGCAATGTTTGGTGTTCATTTGATACATTGTTCATATTTGCTCTGTGTTCACAAAATGCATCTCATTCAGAGCTTCCCTTTCACATGACTCTTTCCATTTCAGACCTCATTATGTTACACAATAGACAAGAGTGGACTGGGACATGTACTTTAGCCCCAGCTCCATAGTGCTTGGTAAACTAGCCTAGTAGCGACATCATTTGGACAATACACTTTATAATAAGAACGCTTGACATTCAAACTGGACTGCTTGATTAATGAAAAAATGTGCTTCTACAAAAAGCAATTTCAAAAAGTAAGAACTTTTTCAGCACTCAAGCTGTTTTGTTCTCAAGAGTGGAGAACACTCCCTTTCCGGATTTAAAGCACTTCATCTCAAACAAATGTATGCAATGCGAAAAATGAACATTTCCTTTAAGTTTCACAAATAATGTAATACAATCCAAGCTATAGCACAGGGGTGGCCAACCCGCGGCTCTCGAGCCGCATGCGGCTCTTTGCCTAGTTTCATGCGGCTCTTCAGTTCATATCGAATTGTATATGTGTGAGTTTGGGGGAGAGACACTGACTCCTGACTAGTGTTGCACGGTGTACCGATACTTGAAAGGTATACCGCGATACCCTGTCGTTAAAAACATTACGATTCCTCCGTTTCATTAGTATCGGTACTTTAAGAATGACGGGGGAAAGTACTCCGGTGAGAAAGCGCCGTTTTAATAAGAGCCGTGTGTGTTCAGCGCTCTGCTTCCACTCCCTGCACTGCAGCCGTGCCTGCAGTCCCTCCCCTCTCAAGCACGCTCTAAGTCCCTCCCCTCTCTCGTGCACGCGCTAGCTGCCAGAGCATGTGAGAAAACGAGAAGCATGGCTGCAAGTGGGAGTGCAGCTGCCGCTGCGCCTCGGCTTGTTGACAAAAAAGACGCCAGAAGCGAAATTTGGAAGTATTTGAGCGATATCTCTGACAGTGAGGGCAAGCCTACGGACACCACGAGGCCTGTCTGTAAGAAATGTATTAATTGTATTTAATAGGAAATCTTGTCATTTATTTAATTTATTGTTCTCATTGTTTAAAAGTTTGTGTTATGGTTATGGTTCTGGTGTGAAATAAAGCACAATAATTACATTTAAGACTGTTTTTTAAGAAAAGTATCGAAAAATAATCGGAATCGCAATTCTTGACTTGGTATCGAAACCAAAATGTTGGTATCGTGACAACACTAGCTAGCTACTCCTGACAGTTAAACCTGATATTTAGTAGGTCTGTTAAGTATTAACGTAATTTGGCCGGTCAAAGTTGTTTGGGCTCGGATAAAATCGCTCCGTTACTTTCGTCCCGGCTCTCCCTACGTGTGTATGTGTGGTGTCAGGTGTCAGTATGAGAGGATGACAGCAAGTCTAATTTTGATGTGGCCCAAGAGCCAATCACAATAATACCTGCGATGCAGTGAACCAATCACCTTTGAGGGGGGGAAACCTATCGTTGATTAAACACTATCCAGTGTTTCCCCTACCATTGTTTTGGAGGGGCGCTGCGCCCCGCCAACGGAGCCCCGCCCCCCCCCCTGAAATTCAAGGTGTTTAAAAAATATATATAATTTTTTTTTTTAAATATATATAGCACCAAATTGCAAATAATCTATAACTACTGTCACTTTTCACATTGAACATGTGCTCTTTTATATATATATAAACTAAACGCTTTCATTTTAAGTTGTGAATTTAGTGTTTTTGACCCTAAGAAACACTGATGCATTAATCAATAACAATAATCCACAGCTCCTCTCTCTGCTCCAGAGGATTTAAAAAATATATATCCCAATGCCACAAAAATGCATCAGTGACGTGGTTGAAATCTTGTCTCCAGAAAACAAAAAAACGGAAACAAGCGGTATCAGTGCCTGTGTGTTTGATGTGGCTCTTTGCAGTAACATAGAAAAAATGTGGCTCTTAACCTCTGACTGGTTGGCCACCCCTGCTATAGCAGAAGATGAGGTTTTGAGTACGATACTCTATCACAACAAGGAGCGCTGGCAGCCAATGACTCTATTATTCATAACAGCCCCAGAAAAGGCAGAGTCTCCACTCTGGCTGTGTGCTGTCACTTTACTACCAGCCATGCTCCTGCTTCTCACCCCGTCTCCAGTCAACTGTAGCCTCACATTACGAATAGCAAGCAGACAACCACCGAGATTTCCAGAGACAAATACAATATAATTGACCTGAAAAGAGCAACGTTGTTGTGCTTACATTTCTCAAAAGATCATTCATTTGAATAAATTGATGACATACAGTTTTTCCACTTACTTCTCAGGACTGTTTACACACTCTCTATTCTTTAGCCTCTGTCTCAGTCGAGATCTTTAAGGGGCAGCTAAAGACTCACCTTTTCCGACAGGCTTTTGGGGCGTCGGAGGAGGTGAGTTTGTAGCTGTTTTTCATTGCTGTTTTATCCTATATTTTACTTGCTGTGTTTTATGCCTTTTATTTTACATGTTATAGTTGTATTGTGTATTGTGTACTGTATGTAAAGCACTTTGTACATTCGTGTGGAGAAGGGTGCTATATAAATAAAGTTTTACTTACTAGTGGATGGATTGTATGTATGTTTAAGGGAATTGTGCGTGCTAATGCAGAATTTAAAATAATGCATTTTCAATATTTGAAAATAAAAGATAACAGTTGCTCTTACCTGGAGTTCACACCAAGCCACCTCCACCCAGGTCTCCGTGTCCAGGCCTTTATACACTGTTTTGAAGGCTCCTCTGCCCAGTTCAATGTCAAACTTGAGGAACCTGCCTCCAGGAGAGGTGGCCACAGCCTTCATCTCTGCCTCTTCCTCCAGCTCACGGTCTCTCTCCTTCCCCCTCTGGGCGAGTGTGGAGGAGGATTCATCCTTGCCCGGCTCCTGGCTGGAGCTGGGGCAGGACGGGTCGTTGCCGATGGCAGCACAGGAGGAGGCAGCCCCTTGCTGCTGGGAACTGCTGGTGAAGATGGAGTCTGAGGTGCGCAGCTCCAGGTGGGGGGCGCTGTGGGGCGCCTCGGGGGGTCTCTCCACCTCATCGTCCTCCTCACAAATCTCCACACTCTTTCTGAAGAAGCGCTTCTCCCGCCTCAATCGTTTCTGGCCAATGTCGGCTGATAAGGATGGCATGGAGAACGAAATCTGTCTGACTGGGTTCTCCTCGCCCTCCTTACTGGCTTCCCCCCCTCCTCCTCCTCCTCCTCCTCCTCCTCCTCCTCCTCCTCCTCCTCCTCCTCCTCCTCCTCCCTCTCCTCCTGTTGCTTTCCTCTCCTGAGTGCTGGAGGAGGGGAAGTCGGCGGGGGTGCTGTGTGTCCTCTCCCTCTGTTGGTCGGCCTTGCCCTCCTGCTTTGTGTCCTCCTCCTTCTGCCCATCAGGTTTCCCCGAGGAGTCCTCGGTGCCTGTGGGCTCTCCTGGGTCAGTAGCCATGGAGAATGGCCTTTCCCACTCCTCCTCCACCTCCTCCAAATCTTTGCTCCACCGTCAGTCCCCGTCTCTCTCTCTTTCTGGGGTCACCCACTCACCCTTCTCGACTGTCAGGCAGTTCTTCCAGTGCTGCAGGTGATTGGAGGCCGTCCGTGGTCAGACTGGTGACCCCCTCCCACTTCTCCTCCTGTCTGCCTGCTTGTCTCCTTTAATACGTTGATTTACAGATGAAACATGAACGTGAGCCCACAGCTGTGAGAGAACAGTTTCCGTCTTCTCTTTCCTCCTCACCATGTCCTACATTTTCTTTATATCCACTGTTAGAAACACACACTAAACTGGGACTTTTTCCTCAAGCTTTTTGGAAACGATGCTGTTTTTGAGTGAATACCTTCAAGTAAACCCTGCAAAACACAAAGAAACATTGCATTAGTTTTTGAATCAGTGTGATGATGTTGCCATATTTAACTATCTTAAGAAAATGCAACTAAGATACTGTACATTTTTGTGAGATGAGATACATTAAGATAGCAGAATTCAGTGGGTCCCCTTTATTTTTCAGGAACAAGACGAACCAACATTTAAGACGTGAGCTTACAGGAATTCTTTACAGCTTAGTAGGAATGTCTAAAAGTGTGTGTAAACTGGAGTGGATGGATTTAAAATGCTTTAAATTCCACTAAGAGTTGTCACTGACTCAACAGCTCTTTCTTGTAAAGCAAACAACTGGTAATACATACAGAGGCATGGTATTACCCTTGAGAATATGAAGTGCTGATTGCCTGCAAAACTTCTGCTAATGCATTTTGAGCAATTAGGCTCACATCCAAATACTGCGAACATTAAAGGAAACATAATGTGAGTAGGTTTCAATGATTGGTGCGGATGTTTCCAGTAATATGAAGTACAAATGTCTTTAAATGGAATTTTCCACAGCTGCTTGCCAAAGTGATCTGAGGTAATTCATTGGGCAATGTTCATTCAAACTCTGTAGTGAAGTCTGGCAGCACAGCTTGTACCCGTATAGGGATTTCCCAAAACCTGTGAAAGGAAAGCAACCACCAGAAAAGCTTCATCTCTGCTATGGGCTAAACTTTGACATTAAAAGAGCCCTCAAAGACTATCTAGCTCGCCTGGTCAACAATTACACTTCATCAATGGCAAAGTGCACGCTAATCAGCGTCTTGTGACTTAACTTGTGTTCAATGGCTCCATTAGTGGACAGAAAGCTGCTGCCGTTAGGAGTATGCGATTCCAAACATTAAATATGGATGATGAACTATGGGCCGGTTGAATGTGAATAATTCATACACAGAGGGATTGTCGGCGTGAAGTGACTACCACACATCTGCAACAAAGGGCTCATACATATCCACAACTATGATTGTGATTATCATCAGCACAGGCAACAGTGTTACTCAGTGCATAGCCAGTCACCCATTCAGAGAGGGTGATAAAAGACCGTTTGAAATTGTCCCGTAGTGTGATATGAATCTGAAGCAGGCGTCCTCTTACATGCCAAAATCCCTGCAATCCTGTTACTCATTCACATTATGGGATTGTGTCTTTCCGATGACAACTTTATCTTAATTGCTCACTCTCCATCTGGGTATGATAGCTCATTTGCACTCTGGCAGCCAATGATCTCTCAATGGATTGGAGCTGTTTAATTAAGACACCTGCCAGCCTAAAGTCACCCTGGTGCCAACTTCTAGAGACGGGGTCAGTCTACTAATAACGGAGGGCAACAAAGCCTTACGTCACTATTTAAGATTAAGCAGCTAGCTGATATGACAGGAGGAGAGCATGCTAATGCTACCAACAACAGAAGCTGAAGTGGAGGAATGCGGCTGTCCTTGGAGAGTAATGATGCAGTCAATGGAAAGGAAGAAGTGCAGTCTGGTTCAGGGTATTAACTCACTTTGCATATTAGTTTACAACTCAACACATATTATTTTACAACTGAGCACGTGGGACGTTCAAGGGCCATTGCTATGGCTTGGGTTACAGCACTCTGAGGTATGGAGCTACCCACGAGGACCACACATGTCTATCCTGTCCCCTGAAATGTGTTCGTCGCTGCCAGACAGGCTCCACCAAAGTGCCAGCAGCAAGTCTAATTTTAATGAGCAAAGCCCACAGTGACCACTGGGGGCTCGTCGAGCGGCTCGCTGAGGCTTTTATCTCTTTTTAAAAAGGCGGCCATTACACGTCACGTCAGGCCTGTTGTCTAGGCTCTTTGCAAATGAGTCTGACGTGCAATGCTCCTGGCTGTCACTCAAATTAAAAACACAACGGGCTGATATCAGACAAACTGCTAAGAGGCGGCTGGAGGAGAATTCCAGTTCAGCAGCATTCCCCAGACGCAGACACTTCCAGAGAAAAATCATTATCGTGCACATGACTAACACGTCAAACTCCACACCCAATAACAAACTGAAACAAAAATATTTATGTTTGAGGTGAAACACATCTAACCAAAACTAAAGGAGTCTCTGTCTGTATATGTCATGTACTGTCTGTCATTAAGTGTTTGTATGTTATGTAATGTATGCACTGTCTGTATGCATGCATGCATGTGTGTGGACGTACGGTTTATTGCTTCGTTTGTCTGCATGTTACATATATTTTATTTCGATTTTGACGAAATTTGGTGATGACGTGTAACAAGTAGGAACACACTACATTTGGAGCTTTGCCAAAACAGTGGGCAGATATATTCATTATTTTTTTTACTTTTTTTAACAGCTTTGGCTGAGCTCCTGCTCTCTTAATGCCTTACTAGTTTGATATGAATTGATTAGTAATATTTATTTCTTCTAATTGCGCTTATATTTCATTATTGTAAACAAGACATGGTACACTCATCCAAAAGGTTATTCCTAATATTGAATTTCCACAGTTTTTTGTAAAAACAACAAAACACGATAAAGATCTCCTTCCATTAGAGACGATTGAGTCAGCCAATGTGTAATTAAATGATTAAACAGTTAATTAAGGATCAACTATCCAAACTACCAGTGGGGACATACTGTAGTACAGTGAGGGTAGAAAGGTAGAGGCTAACAGGATGTGGGAAACAACAGGCGATAAAGAGAGGGAAGTGGCCCTTTAAACAGGAGCTTATTGGCCATTTCCCCAGGGCAAGGAGTTCCCATGAAAGCCAGCACATACCGGACAGAGTTATCATCACAGTACATCAAACACGTTCAACCCCATCACTGTCTCTCACACCCATAGGCAGATACACATTTCAGGCACACACCAGCAGGGTAGAACACACTTTGCATTTCCCTCTCTCTTTCTCTCTCTGTCCACACTCTTTCTATCTTTTATTCACAGACAAAAACACACAAACATCAAAAGCAAACCCTCTCTCGCACCCAAACCCCATGTCCCCTTTCAATGAAAGAATGCCGAAAGGAATTTCCTGACAGCAGGGAAATGACCAAGCGTTGTTGTATATCAAAGTTGAAGATAACAAACCCCAAATCGCAGTGTAAACTGTGACCTCGGCAGCAAAATGATTGCACAGCAAGTTAACATGTCTGAATCGTCATCTGTTCATATTTCTAGCAGAGCTGTGGGGACATGAGAACTGCACATCTGACATGCTGCACACTGCATGCCCTCCAGCCGTCTGAGAGCCTCTTACATGAGCAGAACACCTGCAGATGCCTCACGGATTGAGAAATGTGCAGAGAAAATCACCTTTGCTTTATGAAAGATGTGATTTCTATTCTATTCTCACAACCCGCTGAAAGCCACGTTTGCTTTCGCTAGAACTTTTCGTTCTGTGCTCAAAGTTGTGAGACGAGGAGGCAAAAACAGGCCCTATATTAATACATACACTCTAAAGTGTGCACACAAGACAAACTGAAGTGCACATGCAGAATCGCCTACACAATCTATAACTTAAAACACACAACAAATCTTTGCAACCCTATGTGCACTTTTTGTATCCCTTACTTCATGGAGATACACACATTAATCCCCTGGAACCAAACCGCGCTGAAAAATTAGGCGGGCAGACAAAGGAAGAGCCAGGGGATTCTGTGTGTGTGTGTGTGTGTGTGTGTGTGTGTGTGTGTGTGTGTGTGTGTGTGTGTGTGTGTGTGTGTGTGTGTGTGTGTGTGTGTGTGTGTGTGTGTGTGTGTGTGTGTGTGTGTGTGTGTGTGTGTGTGTGTGTGTGTGTGCGCGTGTGCATAGACAGTGCGGTTTTAGCAATTGAGGGGGACGTGTAGATGAAAAGAGTGAATAAAAGGTGGCGAGGGGGACAGGAAGGGATTGTAGTTGGTGGGAGCAGGCGGACAGCAGAGTTTCAAACAGAGAGAGGGAAGGAGAGATGGAGCGGGGGGGCCGGCGAGTAGAAGGGGTGGGAAAAATGTGTGTGTGAAAGAGAACAAGAGAGAGATAAAGAGAGGGGGGCGGCACAGACAAAAAGTGGGCTGGGGGGATTTTGCCTGATAAAATATGTGCCACTGTTTGTGTGAATGAAAGCAGTGACTATAGCTAAACATTTTGCACCGACAAAAGCTACAGTTGTGGAGAGGAGGAGAGGAGAGGAGGAGAGGAGGAGAGGAGGAGGAGAGGAGGAGAGGAGGAGAGGAGAGGGGAAAGGAAAGGAAAGGAGAGGGGAGGGGAAAGGAAAGGAGAGGAGAGGAGAAGAGAGGACAGGACAGGAAAGGAAAGGAGATTAGGAGAGGAGGAGAGGAAAAGAGGAGATGGAAGGAAAGGAGAGGAGAAGAGAGGAGGAATGCTTTAGTGAATGGAAAAGGTTGAAAACATGAGGTGATTACATTAGCATAGGAATAGTTTCCGTTGGCATGTCCAGTGTCACAACGAGAGCGGGTGCAGAGAGACTGATTATATGAACCTGTTCAGTTACTCTTGCTGCAGTATTGTCCTTATTAGATTAAGGATTTGTGCTGATCTGGGCATAAATTAGGTTTAACTTTATGTTGTTATGCCTTTTGATTTATGGTGCATCTCAGGTGATGTTACAGGGTAGTCCAAAAGTTATGTAAGTAACTAATTACTTTAAGCAGTGAGTAATTTAGTAAAGTAAGGCAACTAGTAGTGTGTAATGTATTACTTTATTTGAGTAACAGCCGCAGCTGCCTAAGATCAAGCAACGTTTTTTGTGAGCCAATTCAGTACATTACATATATTATAAGTCTTAGCTTTTCCATATGTAAATGACATATAATGAGTTGAATTGCAATCGTCTGATTGCAAGATCCAAAATAAGTATAGTTGTATTTCGTATAAAGTTATATGAGTGTACATTTTCAGCAAGTGTAGCAGTTTTTCAGTTAATCAACTGCCAGCTGCAATAGTTTGCATATTATCACCCTTTGGGAAACTTGACTGAGTGAGCTTTATTATGCTAGGCAGGACTTACATTGAGATGTTGTTGCTTTAGTAATGGGGCACCCCTCAGTCATGTTAACTGCCTATAACACACATGTAAGCCTATTTAATGCTACACTTGAATCCACTCTTCTTTCAGGTTTAATCTCAAGGGGATCTAAAGAGGGGATGGAGGCGGAGTGATGTGGGGAAACAAGGCAGAAGTAGCTCAAGGTCTGAGGGCTCCAGCCAAACTTCAAATGGGCTTTATGTCAAGCAGCAACTGTTCTGAAGATCACAGGTCTGCATCTGATCTCTGCAGCTCAGCTGTTGACCGCAGCGGCAGGTAAAACAACAAACAGCACGTTTGTCCAGCGAGGCCGTGTCTAACAGGCAAGACTTCTGGCACAGAGTCACTCCAGGATACTTTACTGTAAAGACGCAGGTGTAAACCTTCAAAGAGCTGCCGCCGTCACGTTGGAAACAGGAGCCTGGTGGGCTCAAGCTTACAGGTCCCCTATTATACTGTTTATCTTCAATATATAACAGGCCTCAGATATATACAAAACATGTCTCTGGAGTGTTTGGCTCCAAATACCGAACAGATCATTGTAGCATCCCATAATCCCCTCTGTTTCAGCCCTGTTTCAAAAGTGCTGATTCTCTGTCTTTTACTTTAGATGAAAATAAGGAGCCCCTCCCCACGGCCCCTCTGAGAGACATTTGGTTCAAAAGAACACAATGGTGCTCTAGGAGGAGATTCAGGAGATAAGGTGGGCGGGGGTACCTTGGTTGGTGATTGGCTAATGGTTACTCAAGCCAAAAAACGTTATGACATCATAAAGTGGCCAAAGTCTGATCAGCTCATTTTCAGACAGGTTTTTATAGAAAAGGATCAGGACAAAAAGAGAGCGAATCTTTGTTCCTGAAACTTTCAGAATCTCTTTACGCAGAGAGGACACATGTTTATGTATAAGAGACATGAAAAAGTGGATTTTTCATAATAGGTGACCTTTAACATGTGTGGCACGAGAACAATTAGTAGCAATGTTCAGAACAAGCGCCATTTGAAATAGACAGACAGAGAGAAGACAATATGAACCCATTAGCTATAATGCCTTAATGAACAGAGCTTAAAAATCACCCATTAAATTCTAAATCCAGGACAGTGTATGTGCAATTGTACAGGAAAAGATCATGCAAATGAACTGCTCGGACTGCGCCTCCTACTCATGTATTGCACGAGTTTCTTCATCACAAGTTGCTTCACTGTGTGTCTTCTAACTTTAGGTGGCATTCTGAAATCGGATGAAAAACCTCCAAAGATGGAGCACTAGAATCAAACACACAACTATTGTTCTCTTCCCATTTGGGGAAACTCAAGGCTGAAACACAAGAAGGACTTTTGTCCAATCCAGGTCAAGCATGGGAGAGTGTAGGTAGCACACACAGAGCACTGTTCACTGGGGGAGAGAGACAGGGGGATACGTGTTATCTAACCCCCATTTTTGTTCTCTTTTATTCCCCTCAGCGAGCACATCCCACACCAAAGGACTCCTCTAATCCAGGTGAGAGAACGGCTACTTAATCAGCCAATGATGAATAAGGATTACATGTTACTAAAGTAGCTTACTACTGCTGGAGGTCATATCAAGAACTGAGCCTCTTTGCAAATGCTCTACAAACGGTAATGGATGATGCAATAGTCAAATATCAGCAAAGAGTTGAAGATATTTAACAGCTGTCAGCCTTCCTAAAGACCGGAAGCATCCTACATAGTAGTTTGAACACACCACTATCACTCCCAGTGGGACTAACAGTGTTTTAGGAGGGAATGCTTGATGATATACATCATTTATAGATAACATAACAATTTGTATATTATATTACTTGTTAAATAGAAACAGGGGTAGTTGGCATGGGGATTTTTAGTGATTATCTGACAAAAATCCTCTGAGCAAAGAACCCATCATGCAACGGGTCATGCAGTATTCCTGAAGCAAAATGCAATAAAATGTATGTTATTTATATGCTACAGTATATAGTCTATGACACAGTGATGCCTGGATGTGCAAGCAACCATGAAGTGCATCTATTGGCTAGCTGGTAGCTCAGCTGACTTTTTAGAAACGCCATGCCAGGCACAAAGTACAGTCACCATACAAGACAGTAGAGATGTCTCACGCACCACAAATCAAACATCCCCAAAACCTCCGAGCAATAATGTCTCTGATCATTATTGCAATGAGATAAACATGTGCAGTCTGAGGGAGTCTGAGGGCCTGACAGGGGAGTTTGCCTGCAGGTCTGCACTTGACTTCAGTGTTTTAAAAACACACAGCATAATTAGATACAGAACAAAAAGCAGCCACATGAGAGGATAAATACCTAACACGCTATCATGAACAAGCATACAAAATAACGCCTTACTGGGGAGCCACAGTAAAATAACGAGTATTACTACATGCATTGTAAATTAAAATAACAACAAACATCACTCACCCGAATGTACCATGGTAGCTCGTCGGTCCAGGGATATATTTATTTAAAAAACGAGCTATTGAGCACCGGTAGCTAGGATTTCTTATTATTCCTGTAGCTTTTTACTAATTACACGACTTTACACTGGGCTTTCTGCCTACAAAATATGATTTACAACCACTGAAAAAATACATTTACAAAAAAAAGCTTTAGAAAAAGAAGTCCGTCTTTTATTCTGTTCACATTTTGTACGCGTTGTTGCGGTGCGGTCGGCTTGGTCAGTCCCCGGCGGAGTCGTCGAGCCTCGGTCTGGGAGCAGGCGGTGAGCACTTGGTGTACCGATTCAGACGATGTTGGCCGGTGTTGCTTTATGGATCTTTACCACTCGTTATTCGTTTAAACGGCTCCGAGTTGTGCGCCTGGCCATTCATGTGCACCCGAATAATATCAGTAACTTATGTACATAATTTACAACGCGCGACTCCAGCGGCCTTCAGCAGGTTCGCGTGTGTAGTGAGCGCGCTGCTGCTGCTGCTGCTGCTGCCTGTTCTCACTTGCTCCTCATCATCCTGAGACTGAGCACACGCTGAGATCACTCCGCCACAAGAGGGCGCTGCTGCTGCTGCGCGGTTCAATCATGGGTTATTTCCACGGCTTCTGAGACTCTAATGCTGCATTCACATGCTCCTCGTAAACTTCAGTTTCAGCACAGCAGCCACGCAAACATTGATGATTGTAACATTAGACCAATAGGATGAAGTGAATAATAAAATAAAATAAACAATAAAAACCGAGAAAATAAATAAGAGATATAGAGAAAATTAATAAGATTTAACAGCAGTGATTACAAAAATATTGTTAAGCATTATTATTTTTCTCACTTTAACCCTCCTGCTATAACCCCATTTAGTGTTTAACATTTCAAGTGCTTAACATCATATATTTATTTGATATTTCATGTTTTTTTCTGATTTAATGGGTACATCTGGGCAAACGTAAAGTTTACATGATATTGTTGAAAGCATTGTGCATGTGTTGTAGTCAGGGCCGGTTCTAACCAATTTGCTGCCCTAGGCGAGATTTTAGCTGGCGCCCCCCCCCCCCCCCCGCCAGAAAATCGAACAAATAAAAGTATCCAAGGAATACACAATAGAATATATAAAAAATAAATGAAAAATCTCTACAAAAGACCAATGCACTACAAAAACAGAAACGTATTGACATAGGTCATATACATCAAAAAGGCTTCAAATGTATTCAGTATTATATGAACATGTTTTAATTGGGGTGAGGACATCACATCCTCTAGGGGGGTCCAGGTGTATGCCCCCCCGGGAAGAAATGTTTGAACATTTAAAGTAACATGCTTCAATCTGGTGCACTTATGGCGCATTTCCACTGCAGCGGGTAGCCCCGTTTAAGCGTCCTTAACCGTCCTCAAGCGGCCAGGCCAGTTTTTGGTGGCCTTTCCATATAGCCTAGTACCAGCTAGCGGGTACTTTTTCCCTCTTTTTCCGGCCCCATAAAATCGTGGTTCTATCAGACCAGGGCCAGGGCTGAACTAGTGACGTCAACACTCTCGACTGCTGATTGGTCAGAGAGAATCGTCACAAGATCGCGCGCGAGTTCATCCCTAGCGTCGCATATATATTTAGAAGCAAGCTTGCAGCATTTTTATAAACAGCATTTTATAAACGGATGAGCTACAAAAATGGCTACGTCTAATAAGAAAAGCACACCGTGGTCGACCGAGGAGGTGACGACGTTCCTACATCTCATTGGGGATGATCAAATCCAGCGGGAGCTCGACGGAACAACTCGAAATGTGAACAAAAACAAAGCCGATCGCCCCGCCTACACTGCGTTGATACCCCAGGTCCTAAACTGTAATGGAAATGCGCCACGGCCTCGGACGGCCAGCGAGGCAGCCCGAGGCCTGAGCGAGGACGCTTAGGGACGCTTAAACGGGGCTACCCCGTTGCAGTGGAATATCGCCATTAGAGCACACATTACTAGAGACCTGATCTAGGGGGTACGCCGGTACAACTCTAACGGCCGTCCACACAGCGGCGTGCGTTGAAGCTTCCCGGCGGGCGTGTCTGAAACTCAACCAACCATGAATCTCCCGCCCCTGACTTACAAGCAGCGGTTTGATTGTCTAGAGCTTGTACTGTCATATGATTCGATTGGCTGACGCTTCTGCCGTGGCTTCAAAACTTGAACATTGCTCAACTTTTGCAGCGAGCCACGCCAGCAAAGTGACGTCACCCCATTCAAAGTGAATGGTGAAGCTTGCAACGCACGCCGCTGTGTGTACGGGCCGTAAAACACCCATATGAAAAAGATTGGTTTACTAATATATAATCAATCAATAATAATAATCAAATAAGTATGTGAACATAACCAATAACCTACCATAGCCAATAGCAAATAAATGCAACTTATTTTATTTTTGTTGTTCATTCATATCTTATTTTACCTAGTTAACATTTATTTATGCATATTTTTGTATCTCTCAAGTTTTAAACGATATTTTTGGTTTACTGTCCTATAGTATACATTGAAATGATTTCAAACCTGTTTACCCCAATAATTATAAAAGAGTGCCTTGGAAATATTTGTTTACATAAATTGCATTTATCTCTCTCGCTCGATCCCACACCCACTTTGGCTGTGAGCTGCGGACGCCTGATAAGCCAACACCCCCCACTTTCTAGCGCCCATCGTACGGGGCAAATGAAAAGTGTAACCGGGGTGAAAAGGGTGTTACCTTGACTTAATTATGAATGTTGTTACATCAAGGCCGAAAATTAGGATGAGCGCAAACAGTCAAAATGTTTTTTTCCCTCCCAGAGCTGCCAGCGCCCTAGGCAACCGCCTATGTCGCCTATGCCAAGAACCGGCCCTGGTTGTAGTGTCCTTTGGTGTCATATATTGTTTTAGTTGTAAAAACATGAAATATGCATTTACATTTAATGTACATTTCTTTAGGTTGTTTGTTACGTTTTCTTTATTGAGATATGTTGGAATATAAAGTACCTGACTATAAAGTTGTAAAGTAATTTCTAAAGTTGTAAAATAAATTAAATTACAATCATTTTCTCAAGGTTGTTTTCAAATGAACTCCAATAATTAAAAATATAAGTCAATTTAGGGCGAAAAAGAGGGTGAATGTCTTTAATATAAGAAATAAAGTAATTACATAACTACAGTAAGTCAATGTTTTACTTTGATTGGGCCTACTTGTATTTTGTATATAAAGCATGTCTCAAAAATAAGGATGTTGTTGATCAGAAAGTCATTATTTGCTGAGTCCATAAATAGAGGAACATTTTTGACAAAGTCAGTCATGTAAATCAAGACATACATATTCAGAATTAATACATACAAAAATAAATGATCCATAGTTTCAGTATCCTCCCAAAATACAATTATTGGTTTCAAGTCGTTTTAACAAAATTTCACGGGATGGATACACTCTAAATTGTTTGTTTTCTTTTGCTTTTTGAGTTACGGGTAGCTGTTAAATCTGAACAAGCAATTAGCAGTATTCTATTATGTAAGGAAATACATGTTATCTTGTTATCTTAGTAAAGTAAAGAAATCAAGATAATCTTAGCAATAAACTACATCATTATTCGACACTTAATATAACTCGTGGTACCTCGTCCTTTAAACATGATATAACCACGATATAACCCACAGTCCTTGAGAACACTGAACTCGTTCGTAAATACACCGCTTAAAATCCCCATTTGTTTAACAACACTTGAAGGCCCCATAACAGATTTCAATGATTTCAATAGAACAATTAAATGAATCGTGTTTTAATGACAGAAGTATGTTACAACCGACAGATTCAACGTGCAACACGACCCTGTGCTGCCCATGAACCAACCGTCAAACCTGAAATGTTCTACATTCAGTCCGCGGTGTTTATCAGCAGGCCATATGCTTCGAGAAGCAAATGCCTTGAGCGTAATGAACTGAGTAACCCCAGTCAGACTTTGTCTTCTGTCGACCTCTGGTGGACTTCTTCAAGTATGTGAATTGTATTCAGGTGCAATGAAAACACATGGAATATTGTGACACTTTTATTCATCACCATTACTGTCACAATATAGATACATAATATGATGCTTTTTAGAAAAACTCTTTAAAATTGGAGGTAACATAATTCAGACAAAGGCGTGTAAAATGGACTTCTAACCATACAAAAAAATAATATGTATTACTATACATTTCCTTCCTTGTTAGGCTTGCAAGATGCCAAGGGGATACATTTAACATAAAAAAACGACATACATAATCACTCATAATTATAGGTTGAATCTTTAAACAAAGCACTTGGAAGATGCTGACAGGCCTGAGACAACATTAAAACCATGGGCCGTGTTAAGATGAACCCACAATATTAATCAGTTTTCTAATAAAGTATTAAAATAAATAGTTTTACCAATGAAAATTGACGTAGGCCAAATGTTTCTGAATAAACTGCAGTGTGTCAAGTCCTTAGTAAACAATGGCCGTTAGTACAAGGAATAACAATATCACTGAATTATGTATCACAGGATGAATATATATTAACAGATTTAAATATAAAATCTGCCTACAGACCTAGTGCTTTGTAGGACATGTAAACTACAAGTGTACCTCTTTTATGTGTTTTCTGTGTTTGTAGGGATTAGGTCTCCAAAAGGTCTTAGTGAAAAGTATTTTTCCTTCTGAGCATCAAATGTCCTGCACAGAATATTGACACCCGACAGAGGAAATATGTCCATTTCCTTCAAATGGCTTTGGAAGACCTACCCCAGCTGTTTTCATCCACTCAACACCATTACCCTTTGGTCACCAAACATTTGGTCTTTCAAGTTTCCCTTAACAGTTTTTACTTGTTTCTACAACATTACTGCAGCTCAAAAGTGTCTCACAAAGCGTAATGCACAAATCCTCTATAACAAGTTCCAGCAATTTTAAATATATCAAGTCCCAAGACAATCATTGCAGTCAACTCATGCATATGCCACGAGAGGGGAAAACAAATGCAGTTTGTGGTCCTGATCTTGGATGGTTTCAATCTTTCAGTGTTTTCCAATCATCTGGATCAACTGCAGCCACATCAGGTGTTACTTTACTTTATGTGAGCGGGTATTCGTTGGGATTATCCTTCCAAAGGTGGTCGCAAAGGAATACAGCCATCCATCTCCAGAGACTCGGGCCAGCCTTCGTACTTGTTGCTGCTCTTAGTGTTCTTCATTCGCTAATGTGAACAGCCATAGGCAAACAGAAATCGTGTCAACAAAACAGACTGGGATTCACCAAACAAGTTTAAATAAATATACAAGTGTGTTCAAATAAATAATTACTACCATATAACATGTGTTGGACTTGTTGCAATATATAGTATCTACAGTGTACATTACCACTAGTTTTTAACAGTACTTTTGCTACCCTTTATGCAGCTTTCAAATCAGTGTTAATTGTAAATGTGTTATTTCCTCAGTCCTGTATTGACAGAGACATTTCACAGCTGCATACTATGTTGCTTTTCTGTAGA